CATTGCAAAAACATGCCAAAATGTAAAGACCATCGAGGCTAGGAAGAAACTGCATCCACTAACGAGCAAAATAACCAGTTAATATCATAATGGCAGGATCAAGTTCACACAACAATCTTAACCTTAAATGTAAATGGACTAAATGCTCCAATTAAAAAGACACAGACTGGCAACTGATGTTATGCAAGACCCATCAGTTTGCTGTATCTGTGAGACTCCATCTCACATGCAGAGACATACATAGGCTCAAAATAAAGGGATGGAGGAAGATTTACCAAGCAAATGGAGAACAAAAAAGCAGGGTTGCAATCCTAGTCTCTGATAAACAGACTTGAAACCATCAAAGATCAAAAGAGACAAAGAAGGCTAATATGATAATGGTAAAGGGATCAATTCAACAGGAAGAGCTAACTATCCTAAATATATGCAACTCCAATACAGGAGCACCCAGATTTATAAAGCAAGTCCTTAGAGACTTACAAAGAGGCTTAGACTCCCATACAATAAGAATGGGAGACTTCAACACTCCACTGAACATTAGACAGATGAATTGACAGACAGATGAACGAGACAGAAAAGTTAACAAGGATATCCAGGAATTGAACTCATCTCTGCAGCAAGCAGACCTAATAGACATCTATAGAACTCTCCACCCCAAATCAACAGAATATACATTCTTCTCAGCACCACATCGCACTTATTCCAAAATTGATCACATAATTGGAAGTAAAGCACACCTCAGCAAATGTACAAGAACAGAAATTATAATAAACTGTCTCTCAGACCACAGTGCAATCAAACTAGAACTCAGGACTAAGAAACTCAATCAAAACCGCTCAACTACATGGAAACTGAACAACCTGCTCCTTAATAACTACTGAGTATATAACGAAATGAAGGCAGAAATAAAGATGTTCTTTGAAACCAATGAGAACAAAAGATAATATACTGTAACCCTGGGACACATTTAAAGCAGTGTGTACAGGGAAATTTACAGCACTAAATGCCCACAAGAGAAAGCAAGAAAGATCTAAAATTGACACTCTAACATCACAATTAAAAGAACTAGAGAAGCAAGAGCAAACACATTCAAAAGCTAGCAGAAGGCAAGAAATAATCAAGATCAGAGCAGAACTGAAGGAGATAGAGACACAAAAAAACCCTCCAAAAAATCAATGAATCCAGGAGTTGGTTTTTTGAAAGATCAACAAAATTGACAGACCACTAGCAAGACTAATAAAGAAGAAAAGAGAGAAGAATCAAATAGACGCAATAAAAATGATAAAGGGGATATCACCACTGACCCCACAGAAATACAAACTACCATCAGGGAATACTATAAACACCTCTACACAAATAAACTAGAAAATCTAGAAGAAATGGATAATTTCCTGACACTTACACTCTTCCAAGACTAAAGTAATAAAGAAAGAAGTTGAATCCCTGAGTAGACGAATAATAGTGTAAGCTCTGAAAATGGAGGCAATAATTAATAGCCTACCAACCAAAAAAGTCCAGGACCAGATGGATCTTACAGCTAGAATTCTACCAGATGTACAAGGAGGAGCTGGTACCATTCCTTCTGAAACTATTCCAATCAATAGAAAAGAGGGAATCCTCCCTAACTCATTTTATGAGGCCAACATCATCCTGATACCAAAACCTGGCAGAGACACAACAAAAAAAGAGAATTTTAGACCAATATCCCTGATGAACATCGATGCAAAATCCTCAATAAAATACTGGCAAACCGGATCCAGTAGCACATCAAAAGCTTATCCACCATGATCAAGGGCTTCATCCCTGGGATGGAAGGCTGGTTCAATATCTGCAAATCACTAACATAATCCAGCCTATAAACAGAACCAAAGACAAGAACCACATCATTATCTCAATTGATGCAGAAAAGGCTTTTGACAAAATTCAACCCCTTCATGCTAAAAATGCTCAATAAATTTGGTATTGATGGAATGTACCTCAAAATCATAAGAGCTATTTATGACAAACCCACAGCCAATATCATACTGAATGGACAAAACTGGAAAAATTCCCTTGAAAACTGGGTAATATAGGATGTCTTCTCACCACTCTTATTCAACACAGGTTGGAAGTTCTGGGCTAGCAATCAGGCAAGAGAAAGAAATCAAGGGCATTCAGTTAGAAAAAGAAGAAGTCAAATTGTCCTCTTTGCAGATGACATGATTGTATATTCAGAAACCCCATTATCTCAGCCTGCAATCTCCTTAAGCTGATAAGCAACTTCAGCAAAGTCTCAGATACAAAATTAATGTGCAAAAATCACAAGCATTCTGGTACACCAGTAACAGAGAGAGATTTAAACAGAGAGCCAAATCAGAATGAATCACCACAATCGCTTCAAAGAGAATAAAATATTTTAATCCAACTTACAAGGGATTGTAAAGGACCTCTTCAAGGAGAACTACAAACCACTGCTCAGTGAAATAAAAGAGGACATAAACAAATGGAAGAACATACCATGCTCATGATGGTAAAGAATCAATATCGTGGAAATGGCCATACTGCCCAAAGTTATTTATAGATTCAATGCCATCCCCATCAAGCTACCAATGAGTTTCTTCACAGAATTGGAAAACTGCTTTAAAGTTCATATGGAACCCAAAAAGAGCCCGCATCTCCAAGACAATCCTAAGTCAAAAGAACAAAGCTGAGGCATCACGCTACCTGACTTCAACTATACTACAAGGCTACAAATAACCAAACAGCATGGTACTGGTACTAAACAGAGATATAGACCACAATGGAACAGAACAGAGTCCTCAGAAATAATACTCACACATCTACAGCCATCTGATCTTTGACAAACCTGAGAGAAATGTAAGAAATGGGGAAAGGATTCCCTATTTAATAAATGAAAGTATACCACAGCTTACAAGTAGAAAGCTGAAACTGGATCCTTTCTTACTCCTTATACGAAAATTAATCCAAGATTGATTGTAGACTGCCGTTAGACCTAATACCATAAAAAATCCTAGAAGAAACCTAGGTAGTACCATCTTTGCACATAGGCATGGGCAAAGACTTCATGTCTAAAACAATTCAAAAGCAACAGCAGCAAAAGCCAAAATTGACAAATGGGATCTCATTAAACTAAAGAGCTTCTGCACAGCAAAAAGAAACTACCATCAGAGGGAACAGGCAATCACAGAATGGGAGAAAATTTTTGCAATCTACTCATCTGACAAAGGAAGTAATATCCACAGAACCCAGCAAAGAACTCCAAACAACTTACAAGAAAAACAAACAACCCCATCAAAAAGTAAAGCATATGTGAACAGACATTTCTCAAAAGAAGACATTCATACAGCCAACAGACACATGAAAAATGCTCATCATCACTGGCCATCAGAGAAATACAAATCAAAACTAATAATGAGATACCATCTCTGCACCAGCTAGAATGGCGATCATTCAAAAGTCAGGAAACAACAGGTGCTGGAGAGGATGTGGAGAAATAGGAACACTTTTACACTGTTGGTGGGATTGTAAACTAGTTCAACTATTATGGAAAACAGTATGGCGATTCCTCAAAGATCTAGAACTAGATGTACCATATGACCCAGCCATCCCATTACTGGGTATATACCCGAAGGACTATAAATCATGCTGCTATAAAGACACATGCACACGTATGTTTATTGCGGTGACTATTCACAATAGCAAAGACTTGAACTGTTCCAAATGTCCATCAGTGACAGATTGGATTAAGAAAATGTGGCACATATACACCATGGAATACTATGCAGCCATAAAAAAGGATGAGTTTGTGTCCTTTGTAGAGACATGGATGCAGCTGGAAACCATCATTCTTAGCAAACTATCACAAGAACAGAAAACCAAACACCGCATGTTCTCACTCAGGTGGGAACTGAACAATGAGATCACTTGACTCGGGAAGGGGAACATCACACACCGGGGCCTATCATGGGGAGGAGGGAGGGGGGAAGGATTGCATTGGGAGTTATACCTGATGTAAATGACGAATTGATGGGTGCAGCACACCAACATGGGACAAGTATACATATGTAAATAAACCTGTACATTATGCACATGTACCCTAGAACTTAAAGTATAATAATAATAATAATAGTAATAATAATAATAAATACATATACAACCAAGTAAGTTAAAACTTGTTTCCCTATGTACCACTGAGATCATTGCCAACACTTCACACTTGAACTCAAAAACTGCTCAAGGCAGTGAGAATCATTAACGGTTTTTGAGCAAGAGACATATCTTCATAGCTGAGTCTTATAAAGATCACTCTAAAGGAAGAATGGCAAGTGGATCGGTGGAACTAAAGATGGGGCAGGAGAACCAGTTGTGCTTACAGCTGCAACAATATCCACAAGAGATGATCAGAATCTAAACTAGTGGGGCAAGCAGCAGAGACAGAAGGAGGGGAACTCACATATAAAACAGGAAATGTAGATAGACAGATTCCCCAAGACTCTGGAACTTGAGAAATATCCCTCTCCTACACCCACCACACCCGGGCACACATAATACACACGGGGAAGCAGAGATACCATACATTTGTAATCTCTACTGAGGTAGACAGAATAGATGAGACAAGGCAGGCTTAGATTAGAACTCACCTGGACATGTTCAACAAAAAGTTAACTGTTGCTACTACTACTAGCACTATTCTTCAAATTTACATCACTTCAATTCTAATATCCCAGAGCTGCTTTCAACAGCTTTCTTCCTACAGAGGTATCACAAAAGGATACACACACATATTGTATGTTACCTCTGAGGGTCGGGCTTGATATGAATTCTGTGTTGAGGAGGAAAAGCATTATCCGTGCCCCGCCTACCCACAGCCCAACGACATCCCACCAACATATACCATATTCCTAGCCCAGCCCAACTGTCCCACTTCCTCATCCTTTGGCTTGCTCCTGGAGGCAAGGCCTTAGTATCAACTGCAAACATTTTGGAAACAAACATGATAACTTGGAGTAGTGTCCTCACTTCCACATTTCATAAAAGCTAAATAAATAGGAAGTGTCACTATTTTTCCCATTACTAAAAGAACAGATTTTCTGGAAAACAAAATGTTTAGAACATGGCATCATCCAAATATATCAGAAGTCCACAACTTTTTCCAACTATGATAAAATTTTTAATTAGAAAAAGGTAAGATTGCCAGGAAAGAATAGCAGAGCAAGGTCAAACAGAGTTGACAGAAATAAGGAAAGAAAAGCAACAAATTTGACGGGGTGAGAGATCTCATATGAAAGTTATTATGCAATGAGGTTAACCACCTATTATAAGCACTCATACATTTTTCACTGTCAAGTACAGAAAAGATAGAATTGAGGAATGTTACCAAAGGCCAACAATCAACAAGGTAGCTTGTTAACAAGATACATAAAATCAATAGTTTTTCCAATCCCCCCACAATATAACAAGTTAGAAAATAAAATGGACAACAATACTGTATTATCATATTAACAAATTGTTAGAAATAAATTAGGATTCAATAGTATTAAAATGCCAGTTATCCCTAAATACATAAATTTTAACACAATTTCATATTAACATATAATATTTTCTTAACCCATATTGGAGGTAAAAAAATTGATTAATGAATTTTAAACAACTCTATCACTCACATTAAAATAATTTGTATACAAAGAATTCAATAGTAAAATTTAAAGAAGAAAAAAGAAAGCCACAGGAAGTAAGAATGAAACATGTATCAGAAGACTTGCCAGTGGAAGCTTTTAAATGAGAACAGAATGACATGCCTGACTCTCTATATCTTAAGAGGATCACTCTGTTTGGGTTCACAATATTGAGAAAACACTAACCAGAATCAAGAAGCAGGGATACTAGTTGTTTTGTTGTTGTTGTTGTTGTTGCTGTTTGTTTGTTTGTTTTTTGAGTTGAATCTATCTGTCACCCAGGCTGAGGCAGTGGCATGATCTCAGTTTCACTTGCCACCTCCCTCCCAGGTTCAAGCAATTCTCCTGCCTCAGCCCCCTGAGTAGCTGGGACTACAAGCACGCACTACAACACCCAGCTAATTTTTGTATTTTTACAGAGACGGGGTTTCATCATGTTGGCCAGATGGTCTCGAGCTCTTGACGCCATGATCGGGAATCCGCCCAGCCTCCCAAAGTGCTGGGATTACAGGCGTGGGCCACTGTGCCCGGCCCGGCCAGGATACTAGTTGTTAAACAATTAAAATAACCAGGTGAGAGATGGTGGTTTCTTGGCTCAGGGAGGCAGAAGTGAAAACATTGGGAAATAGTTGAGTTCTGTATTTAAAAGGAAGAATAAACAGGATTTGCTGATGGACTAATGCTGGAGCATGAGATAAACATATGGGCCACAGGATGACTCCCAAGGTTTTTTGGACTGAGCAAATGAAAAGATTGAGGTGCCCTAACTGAGATGGAAACACTAGGTGAGCAGACTTGGGGATAAAGTATGACATGCACACTGAACACAAACAATAAGCAGTTATGAGATATTATGCAAACACATAGATAAAGCCAGCTTGGGGGATATGTTCAGTTGAGATGCTTCAGACAACACAGCAGAGGAGTTCTAGATATCAGTCCAGAGTCCAGAAAACAGACATGCTCTGAAGATGCACACCTGTGTGAATTATGAGTATGTAGTTGTCATTGAGAAAAGTCTTGAGACTGGATGAGGATTATCAGAAGAGGGGCGGAGCAAGATGGCCGAATAGGAACAGCTCCAGTCTCCAACTCCCAGCTAAAGCAGCAACACAGAAGACGGGTGATTTCTGCATTTTCAACTGAGGTACTGGGTTCATCTCACTGGGGAGTGCCAGACGATCGGTGGCTGGTCAGGCTGCTGCAGCCCGACCAGCGGAGAGCTGAAGCAGGGCGAGGCATTGCCTCACCTGGGAAGTGCAAGGGGAAGGGAATCCCTTTTCCTAGCCAGGGGAACTGAGACACAACACCTGGAAAATCGGGTAACTCCCACCCCACTACTGCGCTTTAAGCAAACAGGCACACCAGGAGATCATATCCCACACTGGCCGGGAGGGTCCCACACCCACGGAGCCTCCTCATTGCTAGCATGGCAGTCTGGGGATCTTACCGGCAAGGCAGCAGCAAGGCTGGGGGACATCGCCATTGCTGAGGCTTAAGAGGTAAACAGGCCGGGCGCGGTGGCTCCTGCCTGTAATCCCAGCACTTTGGGAGGCCGAGACGGGCGGATCACGGTCAGGAGATCGAGACCATCCTGGCTAACACGGTGAAACCCCGTCTACTAAAATACAAAAAATATTAGCCGGGTGAGGTGGCGGGCGCCTGTACTCCCAGCTACTCGGGAGGCTGAGGCAGGAGAATGGTGTGAACCCGGGAGCCGGAGCTTGCAGTGAGCTGAGATCCGGCCACTGCACTGCAGCCTGGGCGACAGAGCAAGACTCCGCCTCAAAAAAAAAAAAAAAAAAAAAGAGGAAACAAAGCTGCTGGGAAGCTCGGAACTGGGTGGAGCTCACAGCAGCTCAAGGAAACCTGCCTGTCTCTGTAGACTCCACCTCTGGGGACAGGGCACAGTAAACACAACAGAAAGCTCGCAGACGCAAACCACTCTGTCTGACAGCTTTGAAGAGAGCAGTGGATCTCCCAACACGGAGGTTGAGATCTGAGAAGGGGACAGACTACCTGCTCAAGTGGGTCCCTGACCTGGAGTAGGCCTCACTGGGAGACATCCCCCACTAGGGGCAGTCTGACACTCCAGATTGTCTCACAGGGTGGAGTACACCCCTGAGAGGAAGCTTCTCCAAAGCAAAGAATCAGGACAGGTACACTCGCTGTTCAGAAATATTCTATCTTCTGCAGCTTCTGCTGCTGATACCCAGGCAAACAGGGTCTGGAGTGGACCTCAAGCAATCTCCAACAGACCCACAGCTGAGGGTCCTGACTGTTAGAAGGAAAACTATCAAACAGGAAGGACACCTACACCAAAACCCCATCAGTACATCACCATCATCAAAGACCAGAGGCAGATAAACCACAAAGATGGGAAAAAGCAGGCAGAAAAGCTGGTATCCAAAATAAGAGCGCATCTCCGCAAAGGAGCTGAGCTCATCGCCAGCAACGGATCAAAGCTGGACGGAGAATGACTTCCACGAGATGAGAGAAGAAGGCTTCAGTCCATCAAATTTCTCAGAGCTAAAGGAGGAATTACGTACTCCAGCGCAGAAGAAACTAAAAATCTTTAAAAAAAAAAAAAAGTGGAAGAATTGATGGCTAGAGTAATTAATGCAGAGAAGCTCATAAACGAAATGAAAGAGACGAAACCATGACACGAGAAATACGTGACAAATGCACAAGCTTCAGTAACCGACTCGATCAACTGGAAAAAAGAATGTCAGCGATTGAGGATCAAATGAATGAAATGAAGCGAGAAGAGAAACCAAAAGAAAAAAAGAAGAAAAAGAAATGAACAAAGCCTGCAAGAAGTATGGGATTATGTAAAGACCAAATCTACGTCTGATTGGGGTGCCTGAAAGTGAGGGGGAAATGGAACCAAGTTGGAAAACACTCTTCAGGATATCATCCAGAGAACTTCCCAACTCTAGTAGGGCAGGCCAACATTCAGATCCAGGAAATACAGAGAATGCCACAAAGATACTCCTTGAGAAGAGCAACTCCAAGACACATAATTGCCAGATTCACCAAAGTTGAAATGAAGGAAAAAAATCTTAAGGGCAGCCAGAGAGACAGGTCGGGTTACCCACAAAGGGAAGCCCATCAGACTAACAAGTGATTCTCGCAGAAACTCTTCAAGCCAGAAGAGAGTGGGGGCCAATATTCAACATTCTTAAAGAAAAGAATTTTCAACCCAGAATTTTATATCCAGACAAACTAAGTTTCATAAGTGAAGGAGAAATAAAATCCTTTACAGATAAGCAAATGCTTAGAGATTTTGTCACCACTAGGCCTGCCTTACAAGAGACCCTGAAGGGATAATTAAACATGGATGGGAACAACTGGTACCAGCCATTGCAAAAACATGCCAAAATGTAAAGACCATCAAGGCTAGGAAGAAACTGCATCAACTAACGAGCAAAATAACCAGTTAATATCATAATGGCAGGATCAAGTTCACACATAACAATCTAACCTTAAATGTAAATGGACTAAATGCTCCAATTAAGACACAGACTGGCAAACTGGATAAAGAGTCAAGACCCATCAGTTTGCTGTATTCAGGTGACCCATCTCACATGCAGAGACATACATAGGCTCAAAATAAAGGGATGGAGGAAGATTTACCAAGCAAATGGAGAACAAAAAAAAAAAGCGGGGGTTGCAATACTAGTCTCTGATAAAACAGACTTGAAACCATCAAAGATCAAAAGAGACAAAGAAGGCCATTACATAATGGTAAAGGGATCAATTCAACAGGAAGAGCAAACTATCCTAAATATATATGCACCCAATACAGGAGCACCCAGATTCATAAAGCAAGTCCTTAGAGACTTACAAAGAGACTTTGACTCCCATACAATAATAATGGGAGACTTCAACACTCCACTGTCAACATTAAAACAGATGAACGACAGAAAGTTAACAAGGATATCCAGGAATTGAACTCATCTCTGCAGCAAGCAGACCTAATAGACATCTATAGAACTCTCCACCCCAAATCAACAGAAAATACATTCTTCTCAGCACCACATCGTACTTACTCCAAAATTGACCACGTAATTGGAAGTAAAGCACTCCTCAGCAAATGTACAAGAACAGAAATTATAACAAACTGTCTCTCTCAGACCACAGTGCAATCAAACTAGAACTCAGGACTAAGAAACTCAATCAAACCGCTCAACTACATGGAAACTGAACAACCTGCTCCTGAATGACTACTGGGTACATAACGAAATGAAGGCAGAAATAAAGATGTTCTTTGAAACCAATGAGAACAAAGATACAACATACTTAACTCTGGGACACATTTAAAGCAGTGTGTAGAGGGAAATTTATAGCACTAAATGCCCACAAGAGAAAGCAGGAAAGATCTAAATTGACACTCTAACATCGCAATTAAAAGAACTAGAGAAGCAAGAGCAAACACATTCGAAAGCTAGCAGAAGGCAAGAAATAACTAAGATCAGAGCAGAACTGAAGGAGATAGAGACAAAACCCTCCTCCAAAAATCAATGAATCCAGGAGTTGGTTTTTGAAAAGATCAACAGAATTATTAATTACTAGCAAGACTAGCAAAGAAGAAAAGAGAAGAATCAAATCGACGCAATTAAAAATGATAAAGGGGTTATCACCACCGACCCCACAGAAATACAAACTACCATCAGAGAATACTATAAACACCTCTACGCAAGTAAACTGGGAAATCTAGAAGAAATGGATAATTTCCTGGACACTTACACTCTTCCAAGACTAAACCAGGAAGAAGTTGAATCCTGAATACACCAACAGCAGCTCTGGAAATTGAGGCAATAGTTAATAGCCTACCAACCAAAAAAAAGTCCAGGACCAGATGGATTCACAGCTGAATTCTACCAGAGGTACAAGGAGGAGCTGGTACCATTCCTCTGAAACTATTCCAATCAATAGAAAAAGAGGGAATCCTCCCTTAACTCCATTTTATGAGGCCAACATCATCCTGATACCAAAGCCTGGGTGAGACACAATAAAAAAAGATAATTTTGACTAATATCCTATGAACATCGATGCAAAAATCCTCAATAAAATACTGGCAAACCAGATTCAGCAACACATCAAAAAGCTTATCCACCATGATCAAGTGGGCTTCATCCATGGGGTGCGCGTGGTTCAACATATGCAACCACAAACATAATCCAGCATATAAACAGAACCAAAGACAAGAATCACATCATTATCTCAATAGATGCAGAAAAGGCTTTTGACAAAATTCAACAGCCTCCTTCATGTGAAACGCTCAATAAATTCGGTATTGATGGAACGTACCTCAAAATAATAAGAGCTATTTATGACAAACCACAGCCAATATCATACTGAATGGACAAAAACTGGAAAATTTTGAAAACTGGCACAAGACAGGGATGCCCTCTCTCACCACTCCTATTCAACATAGTGTTGAAGTTCTGGCTAGGGGCAATCAGGCAAGGGAAAGAAATCAAGGGCATTAGTTAGGAAAGAAGAAGTCAAATTGTCCCTTGCTTGCAGATGACATGATTGTATATTTAGAAAACCCCATTGTCTCAGCCTAAAATCTCCTTAAGCTGATAAGCAATCTCAGCAGCAGTCTTCAGGATACAAAATTAATGTGCAAAAATCACAAGCATTCTTATACACCAGTAACACACAAACAGAGAGCCAAATCAGGAATGAACTTCCATTCACAATTGCTTCAAAGAGAATAAAATACCTAGGAATCCAACTTCCAAGGATGTGGTGCTGACTTTCTTCAAGGAGAACTACAAACCACTGCTCAGTGAAATCAAAGAGGACACACAAACAAATGGAAGAACATACCATGCCTGGGCGGATAGGAAGAATCAATATCGTGAAAATGGCCATACTGCCCAAGGTAATTTATAGATTCAATGCCATCCCCATCAAGCTACCAATGAGCTTCTTCACAGAATTGGAAAAAACTGCTTTAAAGTTCATATGGAACCAAAACAGAGCCCGCATCTCCAAGACAATCCTAAGTCAAAAGAACAAAGCTGGAGGCATCACGCTACCTGACTTCAAACTATACTACAAGGCTACAGTAACCAAAACAACATGGTACTTGGTACCAAAACAGAGATATAGACCAATGGAACAGAACAGAGTCCTCAGAAATAATACCACACATCTACAGCCATCTGATCTTTGACAAACCTGAGAGAAACAAGAAATGGGGAAAGATTCTATTTAATAAATGGTGCTGGGAAAATTGGCTAGCCATAAGTAGAAAGCTGAAACTGGATCCTTTCCTTACCCTTATACGAAAAATTAATTCAAGATGGATTAGAGACTTAAATGTTAGACTAATACCATAAAACTCCTAGAAGAAAACTCAGGTAGTACCATTCAGGACATAGGCATGGGCAAAGACTTCATGTCTAAAACACCAAAAGCAACAGCAGCAAAAGCCAAAATTGACAAATGGGATCTAATTAAACTAAAGAGCTTCTCTGCACAGCAAAAGAAACTACCATCAGAGTGAACAGGCAACCTACAGAATGGGAGAAAATTTTTGCAATCTACTCATCTGACAAAGGGCTAATATCCAGAACCTACAAAGAACTCAAACAAATTTACAAGAAAAAAACAAACAACCCCATCAAAAAGTGGGCAAAGGATATGAACAGACATTTCTCAAAAGAAGACATTCATACAGCCAACAGACACATGAAAAAATGCTCATCATCACTGGCCATCAGAGAAATGCAAATCAAAACCACAATGAGATACCATCTCACACCAGTTAGAATGGCGATCATTCAAAAGTCAGGAAACAACAGGTGCTGGAGAGGATGTGGAGAAATAGGAACACTTTTACACTGTTGGTGGGATTGTAAACTAGTTCAACCATTATGGAAAACAGTATGGCGATTCCTCAAGGATCTAGAACTAGATGTACCATATGACCCAGCCATCCCATTACTAGGTATATACCCAAAGGATTATAAATTATGCTGCTATAAAGACACATGCACACGTATGTTTATTGCAGCACTATTCACAATAGCAAAGACTTGGAATCAACCCAAATGTCCATCAGTGACAGATTGGATTAAGAAAATGTGGCACATATACACCATGGAATACTATGCAGCCATAAAAAAGGATGAGTTTGTGTCCTTTGTAGGGACATGGATGCAGCTGGAAACCATCATTCTTAGCAAACTATCACAAGAACAGAAAACCAAACACCACATGTTCTCACTCATAGGTGGGAACTGAACAATGAGATCACTTGGACTCGGGGAGGGGAACATCACACACCGGGGCCTATCATGGGGAGGGGGGAGGGGGGAGGGATTGCATTGGGAGTTATACCTGATGTAAATGACGAGTTGATGGGTGCAGCACACCAACATGGCACAAGTATACATATGTAACAAACCTGCATGTTGTGCACATGTACCCTACAACTTAAAGTATAATAATAATAAATAAATTTTTTAAAAAAATCATAAACTGAAAGATTAAAAAAAAAAAGAGATTATCAGAAGTGGGACTGCAGGTAAAATAGATGAGGATCAAAGACTTGAACCTTACTTGGGGCACCCCAAAGTTAAAAGCCAGGGAGATGGGGAGGAATCACAAAAAGAGATTATTAAGGATAAGCAGCCAGGGAGACACAAAGAAAAGCAGAAGCAAGGGAATGGAAGCAATGGAAGCCTAGAAGTCAAGGGAAGAAAGTGCTTCAAGGAGGAGGAGTGATCACCTGTGTCAAATGCCAGTGACAGACCTAGTCCTATGAAGACTGAAAACTGGCCATTAGATTTAATGAACCAAAAGTCGAAGTGATGCCAAGAACAACAGTGTAGTGGTTTGGGGGCACGGTTACAAAAGCAATAGAACTGGAGGAAAAGAATTAGAGAAAAGAAAATTCGTAGAGACAAATTTCATGGAACCTACAAAGTCCAGAATGGGAGCTTCTTTTCTCATGAGGAGCATGTGCACAGGAAGTCGCTGGTCTCTCATCCTATTGGCTGAGCAAAATGGCTGTAACAAGAAAACCTTTGGGGTGGGGGTGGGAGGCAAAACTGGTGAAATGGTCATTTGTGAAACTGTTCATCTGTGGAAGTGGACATTTGGCAAATTGGCCATTTAGCAAACTAACATTCAGCAAATTGGCCTAGAGCAGCCTGGATGGAGGACAGTCAATGACATGGTATATTCCAACAGGTCCATCTTTCCTTACCTGCTTTCAGTGCTTGAGTTTCTGGTGGAAGAGAGTCAAAAGTTTGTGATCCTGTACACATCAATCTCTCCACTCTCTCGGCTGTAATATCAAGGGGACTAGGAAGTTTCTGACACACCATCGCTGAAGTCTGTTGTTAAGGACTCAAAACCTTGAGCCAGTGCCTCCCACCAAGGCGAAGATTCACTGTATGCTCTAAATATTGAGGTAACAAAGTCTGTCCATACAGAAAATGCATGTGTTATATGGCAACACTGCTTTATGCATCACATCTCAAAACATGCACACAATTTCAGGGAGTTCACAAACTCCTAAAAGGCCAAAAAGGATCCTCATGACAGATACTTTAACACTGAAGCCCATGGAACAAATGAGAACAGAGCTTAGCAGGTTGGCTACTGGTGACCTTGAAACAGTTATCTAACACAAACATCTAAATCATCTACTTATATTTAAATCTTAGTGTAAACATTTTTATTTTTACAGATTACTAAATAAACACAAAAAGATTGTCTTTCTAAAGAAGTTCATTAGTAATGTTAAAACAAATTAGTATTAGTGTATTAATTATTAAAGTATCAAACACAGTTTCACGGTAGAAGACTAAATAAGCAGAGAAGACTTATTTTGGATTGAATGTTATTTCCAGAGAATTTCCTGGTTGCCATAACGCATTGTCTCTTCTTGCTTTATCCAAACTATTTCATTAAAAACCTGTAGAATAAACAATACCAAGAACAGCATGGGATATGGGTAGTCACTGACTGCAAATGGCATTGATTTGAACTTTAGGGTCTGAATGTCGTGCCTCCCGGGCTCCAATTTTTCATCCTAAAGAAGTCGCTATTTTATCAATTTTGTCTTTGTCCCTATAGTAAACACAAGATTGGAGGGTGAAAATGTCATATGCACATATAAACAGGCAGTGGGGAAAAGGAACCCAACATTATTTGGCATATTTTTACCCTAATGTGTTACTTTTTAAAAAAAAGCTAAAAATGACTGAAGGGAATCCTGCCACAGAAACAGCCTCCTCAACCTCTACTCTTACACTTTCCAGTGAATCCTTCTTTAAGACTTCCCAGGAAGTACTTCTCCCCAACCTCCTCAAGCAGACTATATCAAGTGGTAAAGCAGTCTTACAAATAAGTGCTAACAAGTTATTATTCCACTTCAGCAATAACTTAGAAAATGAATGCACTAAAGCAAACTTATATCAGAAAAGTTATTTCCCAACTTCCCCATTAATGATCCTAGCTATCAAGCACCTTTTCTACTTTAATAACTATTTTTTAAACCTGGGTTTGCATGCACGAAGGTCCAATGTTTCTTTCTATCCCTTTATCTCTTCACCTCAGCACTCTATAAAATATTGCTGTCCTGTCCCTCCAATATCACCCTTTAGCTGAGTTACATAGACTTCTTTAAATTGCTTCCAAGCCCTGTAATCAACTCATCTGTGGAAGCTCTGTCCACTTTCTCAGTCCATCTCAGCTTTCTGAAGTACCACTCATCAAACTGGAAAGTGAGACAAATTATACTGCCTAAAGATGCCTAAAGGTAAACAATGTTACAAGACTCTTACTTTTCATTCTCAGCAAACTATGGCAAGAACAGAAAACCAAATACCACATGTTCTCACTCACAGGTGGGAATTGAATAATGAGATCACTTTGACACAGGAAGGGGAGCATCACACACGGGGTCCTATTGTGGGGAGGGGGTAGGGGGAGGGATAGCATTAGGAGATATACCTATTGTAAATGACAAGTTAATGGGTGCAGCACACCAACATGGCACATGTATACATATGTAACAAACGTGCACGTTGTGCACATGTATCCTAGAACTTAAAGTATAATAAAAATAAATAATTAAATAAAGCTCCAAGAAAAGTATCCTTTGAGGGTATATGACAGAATTCCTACACCACCTCTATCTACAGAAGAAGGGGTTTCAGGGAGCATCCACCTCTCCTGATCTACACTGCACGATGACCAGCATGCAGTGAGATAATGCTTCAACTGAGACTAGGACAGTGTGAATCATACAGGGATGTCTAGAAGAGACATCTCTTTATGGTGACAGAGACAAATAAATGCACGGCACAAAATGTGTGTCTTCAGGTGCCCAAGATCTAAGATTTTTGGTCTTCTAAAAAAAAAAAAAAGAAAAGAAAGAAAAGAAAAAGCAGTTCTTTGCTCACTACACTTAAAGGAACTAAGAACTCTATATGAACAATACCTGTATATGAGAGTTGTAAGCCTTTCCCAATTATACACAGTAAAAATGTCCCTCATGAACTGAGCTGCATAAATTAAAGCTGAATTACATTTATTAAAGATATTACATGATAGATTTTTGTAGGGCAAGAACATGACCAACAGTCAAAAAGGATATACACCGCATTACCTGATCACCCTTCATGATCTTTTTAGCCTTCATATTTATATAGTAATCTCCCCACAAGGTTTTCATAAGAACTTCCTTTTTGATGGCAATTTTTTGACTGTAGATTCTGGCAAAGTGCTCAATTCTGAAAGAAGACCAAATGTTCACATTATTAATAACAATGAAAAGCATAGGTAACATTTGAACATTTCTGTGACAGGTACTGTTCAAACTTCTTTACACGTGTATTACTAAACTTAATCCACTATCCTACAGAATTTCCCCATTTTACAGAAAAGGGTAATGAAGCACAGAGATATCACACAGGGAAGAAGTGAGGTGGGGATTTAAAACCAAGCGGTCTGGTTCCAAAGCCCATGTTCGGGTCTATACTAATTGGTAATACATGCTATAGCTTTGTTTCTTAATTTTACACATGTAAAGCAAAATAAAACTACGGAAAAGAAAATGCAAGCTCCAGTTGCTTGTCACAACTATGCCAACAATGAAGCTTTATTTCAGCTACTCACTGCTATAAGTGACAGTTGCTTACAAATGAGAGAAACTCTTGAGCCACAACCTGCCAAAACAAGGTTTTTATTATCCTAGATTAATGGTAAACATATACACACTGACTTAACTCTCATCAGCCCACAGAGAAACCAGTTACCACCATGGTCTACAGTCAGAGGAGGACAGTCAGCAACAACTAAGGGTGCTATATATAGCATCTACATCATCTGGATAAAGCACCCAAGAAATACCTTTTCTTTACAGAACAATATAATTTAATCTAAGATTTGAGATGAGAATTTTCAGAGTACCAGCATCTTAAAAGATGCTGCTCAGGAAAAAAAAAAAACAAGAAAGGGATATCCCCAGTTCTTTTCCACACCATACTGAAAGCCCAACCTAATGCAATCACACAAGAAAAGGAAATAAAAAGTATACTAATTAGAAAAGAAGAAATAAAACTATCTTTGTTCACAGGTGACTCTTTAATCACTCCTCCACAAATGAAGACAATGTGAAAGGCTGCCAACCACTAGTAGAGTTCCTATGCCTCAAAAAGAAAGCAGGCTCTGCCTTGCTGCCTATCTGTGGATCGCTAAAAAGAGTCAGGCCTCCTCCTGGCTTCCTGTGTTTCTGAACACCCAGAATGGCGCACAGAGCCTTACTTCCAGATGTTAAGTCAGGATACCCTTATCTCTGCAGCTTTTCATTTATCAACACCCAGTTTTGCTAGGCAGGCTGCAACCTGCCAGGCAGATTTGCAAATCCAATTCAGGACCTACAGGCAGGTCCAAGGTCTACAGGTGGAAGGAAACAATAGGAGGCAACCACTGTGGACTGACTTCCCAGGCATTCTCCAACCTAACTGTAGAAGGGAGCCCTATTCTTTAGCAGTGATGCTCCCTGGGGCCTCAATAAATACAGCTGAAGCTTTGCTCTCCACATTGGCAACTTGGGTCTCTTCTTAGATGGTTAAAACCGGAGCTAATGACTGAGTGATGAACACATGAAACCTGTGACATTTTCTTTCTTTTAAATTTGAATTACTTTTTCACCTGCTATAGAACGAATTTTTGTCTATCCTTCACTGACACTTAAATTCTGACTTTAATTATTCCATTCATATGGTTCATCTTCCTAATTAACCTGTGTCGATCTCCCCCACACTAAGTGCCTGCAGAGTTCCACTTACAGTTTTATTTTTGTCTCATGCACTTTGTTGTTATAATTGATAGTTAGTCTCTTCACTAGTAAATGTGTCAATTATCTATGCAAAAATGATCCTTATGCCATAATTCATTTACCATAAATCCTATTTTATTGTTAATATTGCCAAACCTCTCTTTTCATTCATATTTGGTTGATATATCTGAGTCAAAGCTTTGGTATGTAGCTTCTGTCCATTATGCTTTATGTTTATCTCTTCTATTTATCAAACTTCTGGATTTATTTTTTTAATGAAATTTCCTTTCTAAAAAATATCTCCTTAATAGAGGATTTCATATATTTATTGGTACAACTGTTTTGATCAGTTAGATTTCTAGTGTGGTTTCTATTCTTTCAGGATTTTTAAAAAATGTTTTGTGTTACCCAGACTATATTATACATTCATTTATCTTTTATAATGACATGCCAGATAAACATCCTGCTCTTAATTCTGACAGCAGCAAACTTAAAGATTTTTATAAACAAATACTCTGAAACCTCCATCAAAATCATAAATTATAGTAAGACATTTGCCCATTTGCTTAGGCTAGGCTCTTCTAGTCCACCACATAAAATATTCACACATGTGTACACACACGGGTACATAAATCCTTCAAAATCTTGCTTCTTATCCTTTTCATTCTTTTTTATTCCATAGTCACCACAAAATTTGCTTAACATCAACCCATTCCCCATTACTGCTAGTGTTTTTATTAATTTTTGTCATTAATCAGCTACAATTTTTAAACACTGACAATTTCTAGCACTTCTCCATTCTTGAATTCTATTTCAATTCCTTTCCTCCACAGAGTAACTGCAAACAAGAGTCTAAGAGACCTGCAGACCGATTTATATTCCAAGACTATTGGTCTATTCGTTGCCTATCTTCCTGAACGACAACTCAGTCAAGTATGAAATTACTGAACCACACACCGTTTTGCCCTCCAGGCTACGACGTGGATTACTGTTAACTATAGAAATCTAAAACACGGTTACACAAAGACAAGTAAATCTATTACAAAGAGCTTTTCATTGTCTCTTCTCTCCTGTCCCTATGCTATAAGGTTGGGGACTCATTTCTATGTATCTAAAACTAGAACTTAGATTCTTGCTGCTACCCATCCAAGTCAATGTGTTTCGGCTTTTCAGAGCAGACTCTCCCAGATTAACATCAATTAACAGGATAGATTTAGGCAGAAGACCTAGGTTCAGCCTCTAGTCACACTTCTTAATCCTTTCCCACTGCAGAGAGTTTATAGAACCATCTTGCAAATTCCACCTTTTGTGACACATGCAGCTGTCAACTTGGTCTATTCACTGACATTTTAGAGGAAAATAGGAAGGAAAAAGTCTCTGGTGCTTTCATTTCCACCACTGCTTTCCCATAAATTCACATATCAACTTGTTGAGAACAGACACTAGCTGATCTCTAAATCCGACCTTGTCTAATACAGGGGAACATTCATTTATGGGCTGATAGTATCCAAAAATATCAAAAGTAAGTGCTATGTAAATTACCCTTATTCTATCCATTCAACTTCCTCCCCATTCCTTTTCCTTCCACAATAAACTTCCCCCAATTTGTGTGATTTAGACTAAAATTAGCATAAAACATTGAATTACTTATGAAAATCACTGCAAGAAAGGGACAAGCCTCCCACCTTGTGGTTTACTAGCAGAATGCTCACAAATCAGGAAATCAACAGGTCTGACCCCATTACATGACTGAATGAATCACTGTGAATGAATCTAAAGAAAGTCTTGAAATCATCTTAGCCCAATATTCTTGTTTTTTCAGATAAGTAAACTGAGGCCTAGAAAGGTGATAATGACAACTTATCAACCATATAAGAAAAGTGCAAATTCTCAGCAGGTTCACAATTTCTATTTTTATCATATACACATTACCTCAATTTATTTAAGCTCTAGTATGATCTTTCGGGCATCAAATGGACTAAAGTATCTATAATTTATTACAAACAGAAAATTATGATATTATATTACACTGCCCTGCCCAAGACAAAATCTGGTCAAAGGGAAATTGAAGAACAATTTCCAGTAAAAAGGAAAATACATTTTAAAAAATGAAGCCAGAGATTTGTTAGGCTACTCCTAAGCCTTGCATTCTAGTCAGCTCCTGATCCTTTCTTTCTTTCCAATTCTAAGTCATACTGATACATGTTTCATGAAGAGACTGTTTTCTCCTAGTGCATCATTTCTAGTTCTACGATCCCTGCAACTTACATGCAATATTAAGCGCACAACTAAAGTAAAGGTCATTATGGTCCCACTATTATTTATCCAAACCACAGACACTTTTCTCAAAGTAATAATTTTTTAACTACATTTGGATTTTTTAATTCCACAAGTCAGAAATTGATGTAGTCAAAAAATGTGATCAATTACCTACTCCATTCTGAAATCCAACGTCACTGTCAACATGGCCTCAGCATGTACAAATTCAGAAGAGGCAATAAGAAGAAATAAGGATCCTTATACCCCATAAGGCAGACACCAGAGAAGAACCATGTCAAAAAAACACATGCTTCAGAGTCAGGCAGATTTAATCTTAATATCAGCTCTGCCTCTTAGTAGCGACTGATGTTGAACAAAAGATACTCAATGTTCTTGAGACCTAGATAATAAATAGTAATATCTATTTCAAAGGAGTGTTGTCAGAATTTGGTGAAATAATTTAAATAAAGTGACTAACTCAATATTTAGCATATGTACATCCTCAATAAAGCTAGACTAACTTTTGCTACTGTTGGTATAAAAGTTAATATAAATATATAAATATATTTGTTCAACTATGTGTAAATAACTTTAGGAAGATAAACAAAAAACTGACAGGAAGTAAACTGAGCTAAGGAATAAGGTAGGATCCTTTTGTGGTATACATTTGAATTTACTCAAGAATAAAGTTAAAGTTAAAAATCAATTGTATATAAAATCTATAAAGAAATACAAGACTGGCTCAATATTCAAAAACATCAATGTAATATACCATATTAACAAGCTAAAGAAGAAAAATCATACAAATATATTAATACAGAAAAGGTATGTGAGAAAACTTGACACATTCATAATAACGACTTTCAGAAAAATAAGAATATTAGGGGGCTTCCTCAACTTGATAAAGGACATCCAAAACCAGTCTGCAGCCCTAACATTATTTCTTTTTTTTTTTTTTTTTTTTTTTTTTTTTTTTTTTTTTTTTTTTTTGAGACGGAGTCTCGCTGTATCGCCCGGGCTGGAGTGCAGTGGCCGGATCTCAGCTCACTGCAAGCTCTGCCTCCCGGGTTTTTACGCCATTCTCCTGCCTCAGCCTCCCGAGTAGCCGGGACTACAGGCGCCCGCCACCTCGCCCGGCTAGTCTTTTGTATTTTTTAGTAGAGACGGGGTTTCACCGTGTTAGCCAGGATGGTCTCGAACTCCTGACCTCGTGATCCGCCCGTCTCGGCCTCCCAAAGTGCTGGGATTACAGGCTTGAGCCACCGCGCCCGGCAACATTATTTCTAAAGGTGAAAGACTTAATGCTTTTCTCCTAAGATCAAGAATAAGGCAAGGACGTCCACTCTCATCCCTGTCAGTCAAATAGTGCTGGAAATTCTAGCCAGTGCAATCAGCAAAAGAGAAACAGCATGCAAATAGAAAAGGAAAAAATAAAACAATTCCTATTTGCAGACATGATTGTCTCATGGCAAATTCCAAAATATCTACAAAGAATTTCAAGTGAGTTCAGCAAGGTGACAGTATACAAGATCAACATTCAAAAATTAATTGTATTTCTATATACTAGATGAATGTGTGAACACCAAAATTAAAAATATCACTTATAATCATTCAGAAAAATGAAAACTTAAGTGTAAATCTAACTCAACATGTATAGCACTTATACGCTGGAAACTATAAAATGCTCATAAAAGAATTTTTAAAATTTTTCAATAAATGGAGAGGCATAGTGTTCATGGAACAGAAAAGACTCAACATAGCAAAGATGTCAAAATTCTCCTCAAATTAACAGGTTTACCAAGCAATTTCCATCAAAATCCTAGCAAGATGTTTTTGCAGATATAGGTAAGATTACTATAAAATCTACATGGAAAGGCAAAGGCCTTGAACAGCCAAGTAATCTTGAAAAATAAAAATAATGTGGACAGAAATAATCTACCTGATTTCAAGACTTATTTTGTAGCTACGCTAATCAAAATTATGTGCTACTGTTGGAAAGACAGACACATAGATTAACGGAACAGAACAAAACATTCAGAAACATACCCACACAAGTATGTCCAACAAAAAATTGTGCATTTTGACAAAGGCACGAAAGCAATTCTATGGAGAAGAGATAACCTTTTCAACAAAGGGTTCTAGAGTAAATGGAAATCCATAGGTCCTCTCCCACCACCAAAAGAAAGCCTCAACCAAAGCCTCACACTTTATACAAAAATTAACTCAAAATGAGTCATAGAGTTAAATGTAAAAAGTAAAACTAAAACTTTTAGAAAAAAATGAGAGACAATCTTTAGGACCCAGAGCTAAGCAAAGAGTTCTTCAACTTGACTCTAAAATCAAGATCCATAAAAAGAAAAAATGATAAAGGAAACTTCAGCCAAATTAAAAATTTTGCTTACCTTGCTGGCTGGGAGTGGTGGCTCACACCTGTAATCCCAGCACTTTAGGAGGCCGAGGCGGGAGGATTACCTGAGGTCAACAGTTCGAGACCAGCCTGGCCAACATGGTGAAACCTCGTCTCTACTAAAAGAGACATAAAAATTAGCGGGGAGTGGTGGTGCACACCTGTAGTCCCAGCTACTCAGGAGGCTGAGGCAGGAGAATTGCTTGAACCTGGGAGGTGGAGGTTGCAGTGAGCCAAGATTGTGTTACTGCACTTCTGCCTGGGCAACACAGCAAGACTCTGTCTCAAACAAAACAAAACAAAACAAAACAACAACAACAAAACTTTGCTCACTTTGAAAGACACTGTTAGAGGATATGAAGCCAAACTATAGATTGGGAGAAAATATTTGCAAAGCACATATGAGACAAAGGACTACTGTTTAGAATAGAAAAAACTCTCAAAACCCAGGAGTACAAGAGAAAAAAAAAAACAAAAAAAACACCACAATAAAATAATGGGAAATGATGTGAAAAGACTTTTCACCCAAGAGGACCTACAGAAGACAAATCAGCACATGAAAAGATGCTCAAGGTAAACCAGCTGTTAGGAAAAGCAAATTAAAACCACAATACCATATTAGTACACACCCAACAGAACTGCTAAAATGAAAATAGCGACAACACTAAACATGAAAACGTGGAGAAACTGGATCACTCACGCATTCATTGCAGGTGAGAATATAAAATGGTACAGTCCCTCTGGAAACAGTTTGGTAGTTTCTTTAAAAACTAAACGTACAACTACCATATGATCCAGAAACTGCACTCCTAGGCATTTATCCCAGAGAAATGAAAACTTATGTTCACAGAAAAACCTACACATGAATGTTTATAGCAGCTTTACTCATAATGGCCCAAAAATGAAAATAAAAAAACAAAAAAGATGTCGAATGGGTGAATGGTTAGACTGGGGTACATCCAAACCATGGAATACTACTAAGCAACAGAAAGAAATCAACTACAGTATTAATGCATGCAATAACTTGGATAAGTCTCTAGAGAATTATGCTAAGTAAAACAAGTCAGTCCAAAAAATATTACATATTTTTTGGTTCCATGTCTATAACAAACTGTTTTGATTCCATTTCTATAACACCCTTGAAATGACAAATTTGGAGATAAGATAAATGGTTGTCAAGGGTTAAAAAGGGTTTGAGGGTGGGAAGGAAGTAGCTGTGACAATATAAGGGCAACGTGAGGGAGCCTTGTGGCGATAGAAATGTTCTGTATATTGATGGCAAATGGCAAAGTCCTGGTTGAGGTATTGTACTACAGCTCTACAAGATGTTATCATGGATAGGAGGCAGTTACCAGGTAAAGGGCACCAGAGAACTCTCTGTATTACCTCTTACAACTGCAGGTGAATCTATAATTATCTCAAAATAAAAAGTTTCACTAAAAAAAACCAATTACATATAAAATCCACAAAGAGATTTAATCAGATTCGAACAGACTTACCCAAAGCCCCACCCATCTATTGCACTGGTAAACACCACATTTCCCTGTTCTGGAGAGAAGTAAAGCTGAGAATCATCTGTGTCCTCCGAGCCAGTGCTCCAGTCATATACTTGCTCTCCTTGTTCAGAATTTGGATTCACTTGGGATTCAGTCTCTCTCTCCGCTCTTTCTTCTGGGACTTTAGAAGTAAAAAGAGTTCCTGTGAGTGCATTAATCTAGGAGAGATGGTGAAACGGCAGAGTGTCATTCAGATACTTAGCATGCTCATGGCAGGAGAAACATTGTTTAACCCATGTTAGGGCTTGAATCATCCGTCAGTTTGGGCTCATTAAGCACACATGAATGGAGGTGACATTTACAATTAGTGAATAACTTACATGTATCCATTCTTCCTAAACTCAGCATAACTAAATTCTAAGGCTTTTGGAAGGTCATTTTGTGATTATTATTAGTTTAATGTAAATGTTAATGTCATACCCTTAATTTGTTTTTCAGCACTGAGGCCTACTATCACAAAGTACTCATGATTTCCAACCCCAGAATCCTAGTTTGTAACCTTAGTCCACTGCCTTGCCCATTTCTCACATCAGTTGTCTGAAATGTTCACTACCCTCTTCGGGCCCTCTTCCCAACTCCTAATCCTCAACTACTTTCACTCCCAAATAGGCAGTAATCTTATGTCCTACCTCAGAAAGAAAATGGAACCTATTATTCATATTTCCTTCAAGTGCCCCACATTCCAATCTACAAGCTCACTTATGTCTGCAAATACCACTGACCTTTCTCCTGCCAATGCAGGGCAGAAGTTACTTTACCTGTTCCTATTTCTACAGGGAATGATAGCCATCCATCATTCTTTTTCACTGTTCTACTTTTATCGTTTCCTGCCCTTAGCAAATAAATATACTCAAGTTGCTCTCATCAATGCTTTCCACTGTCTTGAGGAAGAAATTTCAAACTCCTATGCATGGCATACAAGGTTCATCAACATCTGAATCCATAACCTTTTTCCCATCTCTTGTCACTGTTTAACATGATCTAATTAATCAGCTAAAAAACAATTTGCAGTTCCTTAAATAAAACATTGTACTGTGCTTTTTCTTGCCTTTATGACTTTGCCTGTCATATTCCTTCTCTTTTGAATGTCCTTTTCTTAACTGTCTACCTGGCAAACACCTACTTTACTTCCATCTCAAGGTTTCCATTGTACGACTTCTAACTCATTCTTCCCTCTTGACCCACACTGGGTTGGATGGCCCTTATCTATGCTGTCATATCACACCCAGGGCTTATCTCATTGTTCTCCAAGTATCTCTTTGTTTGTCTCCCCTACTATACTGTGAGCTCCTTGAAAATAGGGATTCTGACCTGTCCAACTTACATTCACAATCCCTAGTACACAATGGACATTCGATAATTCATTTATTCAACAAATATCTATGAAATATTTGCTGAATAAATAAATGAATGAATGCTTGGGTAAAATTTCCTCTAACAACAGGTAATAAAATACTATAGACAGGTAATAAAATCCTAATACTGCTTCATTTTGGAACCAAGATACAAAGTTTTAAACAAGAGAGCCTATTGTCCAAGCTTTATATGATGGGTGCTTCCAAGAGATGGAAGGGACTGAGAACATGCTTATTCCGTAGCCACTGTTGTAGAATAACACCAACATGTATGAATCTGAAGTGGAAAATTTCACTTTTCTGCAGCAATGGCTCATACCCAGCTCAGTAACTTCCTTACAACTCTTCTTCAAGGCTAAATTTTTTAAATACTAAAAATTAAAATAACTGTTCTAAAATACTCTTGAGGTGAGAATAGGCCTCTTGTGGGGTGAATTTCAGTTCCACTATCAAGCAATCTATCTTATTAATCACTAAAACTGTACAGATGTTTTCAAGCCAAGCTTGTCGCAGAACTGCCTGTGTCTAATAAAAACAGAAAGAAAAATGTAAAACTCATGATTTGAAATAATTAGAGCACATTAGAAAATCTTGATTAATAACCACTCTAGACTGTTTCAGTCACACAAAGGCATTCAACAGGCATTCACAAAGTATGTATACAGCACAGTAGCAAAGAACTACAGACAAGAAATCATCATTGTCTTTATGCAACTGACAGATTAAGAAGGACAAATAAGGCCGGGCACAGTGGCTCACACCTGTGTCTCAGCACTCTGGGAGGCTGAGGCAAGTGGATCACTTGAGGCTGGGAGTTCAAGACTAGCCTGGCCAACATGGTGAAATCTCGTCTCTACTAAAAATACAGAAATTAGCCAGGCGTGGTGGCACATGCCTGTAATCCCAGTTACTGTGGAGGTTGAGGCATAAGAATCACTTGAACCCAGGAAGTGAAGGTTGCAGTAAGCCAAGATTGCGCCACTGCACTAAAGCCTGGGTGACAGAGCAAGACTCTGTTTCAAAACAAACAAAAACAAAAACAAAGTATGTTAAATTAAAGTCATCATCTCTAAGATCCCTTCAGAACTCTGGTGATTTAACTCCATCACAGACTGGAACATTACCAAATGTGAAATATAAAACCAATGTTCTGATTGTCAGTGAAATGCCTAAAGTCAGTTAGTTCCTACTCTTTTCTCACCCTTAACCATTTAAGTATTTTCTCATCACAATCCATTACCTATGGACAGACTCTTTCCACAGCATCTACCACAATGATGCATCCATCACAAATGCGAACAGCAGTTGATACTTCTGAGGAAAAGTCCACGTGTCCTGGAGAGTCTATCAGATTAATCATTACCTAAAATACAATTCGTAAACACACATTTTCAGTTGTGCAGGTATACAATGCTCTTCCTCAGGCATTCTAGAATAAGAAGCTAAAACCTTCTAAGAAAAAACTGAGCAAAGCTAAAGGAGTCAAAAACTCAGTCAAGAGCTACCATTCCAACTTTTCTCACTGATGGGACTACTGATTCCAAATAGCATCTATATAAAATGTTAAAGGACTTTACTATTCTAATAGCTAACACTTAAGAGCTTAGAGTGAGCCAGTCACTGCGATACTCACTTTTAATGTGCTAATCACATTATTGAATCCTTACAATATCCCTGTAAGATACATATTACTATTCTCCTTTCACAGTTTAGGACATTGAAACTGAAAGAAATCAATGCCCAAGATCCTGACAGTAAAAGCTGTTCAAAGGGCCAACAAAGTAGTTGGCCAAGTTCTTCCCTACAATTTATCAAAGAGCAGTGTATCAAGATTTAGATTTAGACTCAATTCTACAAAAGATGTAGACTCAAATCTACCACAACTTAAGGAGCAGTTACTACATGCCAAGCAGTGTGCTATGTGCTCTCCCATTAATATCTCCTTCAATAGTCTCAACAGACAAATGTATTAAACTTATAGTAGGGTGATGACACATCCTAAGTTGTCTGGTTTTAGCACTGAAAACTCCCACATCCCATCAAAGCCCTTAGTCCCAGGCAAACAAGAAAAAAAAAGATCATCCTAGGTTTAGAGGGTTATCATTAAACATAACTTAGTATACCATGCAGAAAATTAGTAATACTATAGAATTCTATACTAATTCCCCATTATCAATAAATTTGATATAATTCTCTTTTAAAGACAGAATAACTATTAGAATGCTCAAACACATACTTCACTTTTGCTCCTCCCCTTAACTCAGTGTTTATCAACTTGATTGTGCTCAAGAATGACTACAAGGTTGAGTATCCTTTATCTGAAATCCAAAATGCTCCAATGAACATTTCTTTTTTGTGCCATGTTGGTATTTGAAGAGTTTTGAATTGTGGAGTATTTCAGATTTTGGATTTTCAGATTTGGGATGCTCAACCTGCAATTTATGGGCCATTTACAGGATTTTTCCCTAATATAATTTTAACAACTTCGCTTGTGCCCTAGGTGATACAGATGATAAAACACCACCACAACAATAACCACAACCAGAACTTAACATCTGTGGACTGCCTATTCACGGCTGGCATTGCTCTAAGCATATTATAGAAATTATCTAATGTTTACTTACAACAATCCCCTGTAGTAGTTACAACTATTAGCCCAATTTTATACAGCAGGTAACTAAGGCACAGAAAAGTTAAGTATTTTTCTCAAGGACATCCAGCTAGAATCCAACTCTGAGGTTAACTGACTAAGATCACACAATTCAAAATGATAGAGTAGAAGTTCAAATCCATTTAACTCCAAAGACCATACCTCTAACCACTACACTCAGAAGGCAGTAACTTTTACCACACATGCCAAGATTCCACTGCTAATGAATTCCTAAAACACTGGGTGAAGCATTCCCAAGTGTACTATGGCTCAGTGGGAAAGACTGCCATCAGTTAGCAACAGACTGTCTTCTTCAGAATCACTCCTCCCAGCTGCCTCTTGGTCTTTTCATGCAAACTGCTTTATGAGGAACCATTGCTCTGCTGAAACCACCAGAGAAGGCTCCAACCAGAGGAGACCACGGAGATCTCCAATGAAGATCCAAGAAGTCAAATAATCAGAGCCCTGGAGCAATGGTCCACTGGACCTCAATCGAGCCTTTCACTGTCAGATCTCACACCAGTTTTCCTAGCCAACATTTTCAATAAGTACCATGGTCTCAACCAAGTACACCAGAAAAAAAGGAGCATGTCTAGTAGTGGTCTACGGTCCTAGCATATAAAATTAAAGTTGTGAGATTCTTAGAATTACTCAGCATCTTCTCAGCCTAAGCCTTTATTTCATAGAAAAACATGCTAATGCCCTCAAAAGGTAAGAGACTGACCCAAGGTCCCAAAGGAAGCAAGCCAGAAATACACCCCGGGCTATTGAATAATCTTAGTCACTTCTCGGGTCTTAGGTGCCTTCATACTTTGCAACTGGGGAAACCACACTAGCCTGTTCGTTTGGCTGAACTCCAGACTTGAGAGTGGGAGAACTTCAAGCACTTTCCCACCCTTTGTGATACGACCTGGACCTGATACACAAGTTTCAGAGACTGGGTCTCCAGTCAAGTCCTTTACAGAGTCTAAAAATGCACTCGTACAGAAATTTCAGGCTTCCTATACAACAGTGCTTTTATTGGAGTGCTTTTATTGGAGTTAGACCTTTTAGGGAATACTCAGAAAAATGAATACCTGTCTACCTATCTATGCTCCTCTAATTATGCATCCATTTCCAGATTCTTTGAAATTCATTCAGGAAGGGCAAGTTCGGATCTAGAGAGGAACTGAAAGCTAGAGATACACCAAGTGTTTCTGTCTGAAAATCTACATCCTAAAAAATAAGTGTCTGGTCAAATAATACAGCTGAGAAATACAGCCGGCCTTGGAGCTCACATCACACATACATATTAAAGGTTCAGAGAAGCCCTGTGACAGAAGTCTGTCCAACTCTATTTAACCTGGAGTTTCTCAAATGTATTTAATGGTGAGAAAGAGCAAATGCCATGGTCAGTTACACAGCTGACAGAGGCTTGGCTCAGCTCTGAGTCAGGCCTCCCAATTCCTCTTTCAATGCCTTTTTCATCTTAACCCTTTCCAAACAACTTTAACCTAAATTTTCGAAGGTTGGAGAAAGAAGTCCCATATCCATTAGAGAAAAAAAGTCCACAAGCACAGCTCTTCTGCTGTGACTTCAGCCACATTATGTATCTTTAAAAAATGCCACTTACCACTTTTGTGTGTGTGTGATCAAATTTAAAAACAATATAAAAACAGTTACAGGATTTATCATGCTAGATATTACTATTGCTAGTGGAAATTATTTTAAAAGTAGAGAATGCATAACACTTTTCAGGAGACAACATTTTTTACATGCTAAATGATCTTTCCAATTTGTAACAAAGTCCTGAAGCTATGTGTTGAATTAATCCCTGTAATAGCATTCAGGGACAGAAACTTCTGCTGCTTTACTTCCCAGGCATTCCAAACTAAACCGCTTCATTTCAAGGCACAGATATAATCAGTCAAGCAACAATCCAATCTTTTCATGTTCCAGGGAACTGAAACAAAAGTTGGAAGACCTGAAGTTAATTATGGGAGATATATATCTTCCAGACAATTTCTGCTGCTAATAGGGAGTTACGGGAAACGAATTCCTCCCTTGCCCATGGTTTTAAAGTGCCATGGATAATCATCTCACAGAAGGTGCACATTTTGTCACTAGTACATGCCAAAACACCTCTGTATTCAGTAAAATTTCATGTAAGTCGTGTTCAACTTCCAAAACATTAGAAATGTTCACTAGCAAATACATAGAAAGCTGATGAGAGAAAACTTTCCATAAAATAAAGAAGAAAAACTGAAGGTATGGACGACGATCTGAACTTCCTGAAAGTGTCTGTTGTTTCAGTGTATTGGTAGAATATTTTGCCTGACAACAAAAATAACAGAAATACAAGCAGAACCTGAGTTACCTGAAGATATGTTCCTAAATTCCGTATGTATGAACTTATAACAATTATATACATAAATTATACCCCAACTATAAAGTAACCACAAGTCTCCCTCCACAGGAAATACCACTTTTTATTGGTTTATTTTTTTTTTTATTTTTTTTTTTTGAGACAGGGTCTCACTGTAACATTCAGGCTGGATGCAGTGGCACAATCATAGCTGACTCCAGCCTCAAACTCCTGGGCTCAAGCAATCCTCCTGCCTCAGCCTCCAGAGTAGCAGGGACTGCAGGCACACAAGGGTAATTTTTATTTTTATTTTTTTGTAGAGATGGGGTCTCACTGTGTTGCTGTGGCAGTTCTCAAACTCCTGTCCTTAAGTGATCCTTCTGCCTCCGTCTCTCAAAGTGCTGGGATTACAGATGTGAGCCACTGAACCTGGTTTCCTTTTCTATCTTAAATCACTACTATGTTTTTATATTTTAAATTAATGTATAACATTATAAGTTATAAATCAACTAATATGGCTTATTTGACAGAATTATAAAGCACAATTGTAAAGCTGACACAGGTAACAGGGTAACTATCTTTATGAGAAGCTTGCCACAAGGAGAGGTGAAGGGTGGTTGACTCTGATGGTATGTGTCAAAACTGAAATGGGGTCAGGCACAGTGGCTCACACCTATAATCCCAGTATGTCGGGAGGCCAAAACAAGAGGATCACTTGAGCCAAGACCAGCCTAGACAACAGAGCGAGACCATCATCTCTACAAAAAAATTTTAAAAATTAGCCAGGCATGGTGGCACATGCCTGTAGTCCTAGCTACTTGGGAGGCTGAGGCAAGAGGACTGCTTGTGTCTAGAAGCTCTGGGCTGCAGTCAGCTATGATCACCACTGCACTCCAGCCTGGGTGATAGAACGAGACTCTTGTCTGAAAAAAAAAAAAAAAAAAAAGTGACATGAGTTAGGAAAAAGAGAGGAAAAAACGATGTCGAAACAACTATGAATAGCAAACTGATTAAGTTTTCTTTTGCTGCACAAACCCAACCTGAAGGCCTCTCCAGACCTTCCTCCAACATGAAACTAGACCACGTACAGACCACTTCTGACTACATTTTACCTCACCCACTTTTGGTTTTTCTCAGTATGATGCCAGTCCACATCTGCCACCCAGTACTGTGGCCACACCCTGAACTCTGACATCACTAAGAACTGCTCCACCTTTGAAGGCCTGCTGCATAGATAGTAAATCTAATAATTACACATCCACATGGTCTTAATTCCTTTGATCATTGGCAGTTTTGCTTGGAAGGGTGTAAGAACCAGAATAAGAAACAGTAAAAAAAAAAATGTTGATGTTTACTTATAATCTCT